TCTTGGGGAGGTTTTGACGTGGCGCCGGGCGCCTTCGCCCCCGGTCTATGCTCAGGGCACACAAGTTTACCCTGGGCACCCAATCCAGAGGCAATATCTTGGGACCTACCGAGACCCCCTCTAGGGTCAAAATTCTGGCGACGGCTCTCGGGAAGCTGGGCACTCTGCTAGGTGCAAGTGCCCCAAAAGTACAGGTCTGGATCCCAGAGGCCAAGATGTCAGAGAGATGCCGGTGCTGGTGGAGCCAATTACCGATTCCATGTGTGGTGCAAAATCCCAAGCGGCAGCTCTTGGGGAGCTTTTGACGTGGGCCGTGCACGGCGGGCGAATGGACCCGTGCACGGACCGGGCGTTGCGCGGGGTGCAGTGCCCTGCGTGGGCCGTGCACTGCGAGCGAGTGGACCTGTGCAGAGCCCATGCATTGAACGGGGCACGGTGCCCTGCGTGGGCCGTACATTGCCAGCGAATGAACCCGTGCACGGCCCATGCTTTGCGTGCTGCATGGCCCTGAGTATGGCCCGTGCGTTGCTCTGTGCATGAACCTGTGCATGGCCCATGCATTGTGAGTGAAAGAACCTGTGCAGAGCCCATGCATTGCATGGGGCACAGTCCCTTGCATGAGCCGTGCATTGCGAGTGAATGGACCTGTGCACAGTCCATAGTTGCGTGGTGTACGGCCCCGAGTACAGCCCGTGCGTTGCTCTCTGCATGAGCCTGTGCAAGGCCCTGTGCGCATCCAGGACATTGCATGGTGCATGGGCCCGTGCATGGCCCTGTGCGTGGTCAGGACACTGCACGGCCCCGTGCACAGTGAGGACGTTGCAGGATGCCTGGCCCTGTTCATGACCCCCATGCACAGCAAGGACACTGCAAGCTCCACGGCCCCGTGCACAGCTCGTGCATCGCGTGGTGCACGGCCCCTGTGCAAGGCCCCGTGCTCATCCAGGACACTGCATGGGACACAGCCGGTGCACGGTGGGGCAAAGCTGGCACATGACGGCACCGTGCCCTCTGCACGGCCCAGTGTGCGCCCAACACGCTGCCCATTTACCAGCCAGGAACCGGAAAACATTATATTATTATTTTATTTATTGCACATAATTTCATTTACAGCACAGTCACAACCTGGCATCGCCCTGGCACGAGAAACCCGCCATGTTACATCCAAATTCCCCTGCCAAGATATAAACCCTCCTCTCTCCTTCCTTGCCTCAGAAGGGAAATTAGAAAAAAAGCAGCAGCCGCCCGCAATCCGCGAGCACCAGAGGCACCAGCAGCCCCGTGCAATAACCTCCATGAGCTGCCCGGCCCCTGCGCCGCAGCAAAGAGCCTTCAATAACTCCAGCGGGTTATAAACGCTTTTCCTTTTGCTTCCCTTCCTTATTCAGAACAGAAAATCCATTTTTTTTTTCTTCTGAGCAACAATTTGCCATTATTCCTCCCCAAATCACAGCTTCCTCAGGTCTTCCGGCCCGAAGGAGAGCGGCAAAAGCTCCTCCAGCCTCTTGATGATGTAGGTGCCGTCGGGCTTGGTGAGATACACATCCCAGTCACGGCCAAACTGGGGAGAAGGCGATGGAAAAAAAAAGGAGAAAACTCAGCGCCGCGGTCAAAACCGTGGGAATTTTCCAGTGGGAAGTGCTTATGGAAGGAGGGAGGAGCTGGTGGGGGTTGAAAAATCCGCTCACCTCCCGCATGACCTGCCTGCAGGCGCCGCAGGGCACGATGAAGTCGTCCTCGGAGTCGCTGCCGGAGGGGAAGGAAGGGGAGCACCGAGCTCCGGTGGAGCTTCTTCCATATGGAAAAGGCTCCTGGCGGGGGGGGTTCTCCCACCCCCCCGACAAGCGACCGTGCGGCGTTACCTGGCGATGGCCATGGCCTTGAAGCTGGTGTGGCCCTCGGAGACGGCTTTCTGGATGGCCGTGCGCTCGGCGCACATGCCCAGGCTGTAGCAGGCGTTTTCCACGTTGCATCCTAGAGCAAAGCCGGCAGCACGCTTGCCTCCCGCCTTTTTTTATTCCCCAGGTTATTTCCCCCATGGCCAAAGCCAAAAACACCGGGCGCGAGGTGGCAAAAACACCCAGAAGCGAGCGCTGGGGCAAGGGGAATCACACTCTTGCAATGCATTCTTTTTTAATTATTCCTATTTTGTCCAGCATAAAAAAAGGGGATGAACGGGGCACTCACCGGAGAAGATCTGCCCGCCGGCGGTGAGCGCGGCGCCCCGGGCGAAGCGGCTGTAGGGGCAGTACGCGGCCGCCTTGGCCTCCCGGCTGCGCTGCAGCAGCAGCGGGCCCAGGCGTTCGGCCTCCGCCGGCTCCATGGCCCCCGCACGCCCCAGCGCCGCCAACGCCGCGGTTAAATATTTCCCTGGCCTTCGGCCTCCTCCTCCCAACACCAGGCCGGGAAAACGCCCCTGGGAGCAGAGACTGGAACGGGGGAACCGCTCCTCTGATTCCCCCACACACCCTGGCACTGTATTCCCTCTTCTTCCACTCTATTTTGGCCCCAAGACTTTTGCGCCTAACTGATAAGATCCACCAAATACTTCCTATGGCTGCACTTATTTAACTATTTTTTATTTTCCATCCCCCCCGCCTCCACCTCACCACCTCCGGCAGCAAAGCGGATTCAGGATTCCATGCAGAAAATGTCGTAAAACCGGCCAGGGCAGAAGGCGGAAAGGACGGCGTGTGGGAGGGAAATACCGTTTCCTCATGAGGTGAAGGGAAGCGAGGAGAAAAGAAAGAGAAACCAGCTTTCCCCTCCCGCTGCCGCCCAACTTGTGGCCTTCTTGTGTGTGGAGAAATGAAAACTGAGCGCCCAGAGGAAATTCTGAAATCCTGCAAAACCCCCCGCAGCGGCTGCGAGGGGCGCTGGGCCGGTGGCCTCAGCGGTGGCTTCACCCAAGGGAATTTGTTGCAAAACGAGAGCGCAGGGAGCGGGGAGCGAAGTGCCCCCCTCGCGCAGCGCAGGCTCGCAAGGGAAAATATTGCAAATGCCAGGGGAAAATATGGAAAATTGCACTTCTGGAAGCGTAAATTGCAGCTGCGGGGGGGGCATATTGCAGGTGCAGGGGGGATTATTGCAAATGCAAGGGAAAATATTGCAAATGCCAGGGGAAAATATGGAAAATTGCACTTCTGGAAGCGTAAATTGCAGCTGCAGGTGGGGATACTGCAGCTGCAAGGGGCAAAGTGCAGTTGCTGGGGTTATAGTGCAATGCCAGGGTGTATTGCAAGTTCAAGGGGCAAATTGCTGCCTGGGGAATGAGGAGTCAATAAACAACGTGGAGGTCACCCAGATGCTGCAGGAGGCTCCATCCAAAGGGAAGTCGAGCATTTCAATGGAGATTTCCATAAATAAAGGGTTAAATAACTGTTGTGGAGGTAGCCAAGGCACAAAGGCTTCAGCTTGGCCGCTGTTCTGGGCCTTAGAAATAGCCAGAGACACCCATTGAGCTTCAAAATCCATTATTTCCACTTGCAAATAATAACAACAATAATATATTTGTTTTTACATATACATGCATATTCCTGACCTCCCAGGAACACAGAACAGCCTTCCCATCCCTGAAAACATCCTTAACGCTGGGAGCCAGGATGAAAAGCAGCCCAGACCAAGCTGCATCCCTCGCATAAAAGAATCAAAAAGCAAAAATATCGTCAGAAAAGCATGCATTTCATTTATTATTTTGCTGCTGGATCTCCGGAGGAGCCCCGCATCCACGACGGCTTGCGGGAAAGAGGAGGGGATTTTGTGGCGGCAGAAAGAGCGGAGCAGGGCAGGGGGCAGCTCGGCTGCGGGAGCATCACAGCAGCGTGGGAGGGCTGGGAATTGCGGGAACATCAGAGCCGTGCGGGAACAGCGACAGCCGCTGGAGCATCGCTGCAGCGGGGGAACAGCAGGAGCCACCAGAGCATCATCGTGGTGCAGGAGCGGTGAGACCCATCGGAGCACCGCAGCGAAGCGGGGACCGTGGTGCCCGCAGGAGCATCGCAACAGCGGGACCCGCAGGAGCGTCATCGCAGGGTGCGAACGGTGAGACCCAAAGGATCGTCGCGGTGCTGCGGGAACGGTGAGACCCACGGGAGCATCACCCTGGTGTGGGCGTGCGGGACTGGCAAGACCCACCGGAGCGTTGTAGCGCTGTGGGAACAGCGAGTTCCACGGGAGAACCACCACGGTGTGGGAACAGTGAGACCCACCGGGGCATCGCGGTGCTGCGGGAAGCGTGAAACCCGCTGGATCATCGCACCAGCACGGGACTGGCGAGAGCATCGTTGTGGTGTGGGCACGGCAAGACCCACGGGAGCGTTGCCGCACCGCGGGAAGGGCGATCCCTGCGCAGCCTCCCCGCGGCGGGCGCAGCGGGACCCCCGGCAGAGCCTCCC